TGTGTGCACTCGGCGCTTCTAGGTACTCAATTTAACGCGCAACTGGGGATACTGTATCAGGCCTGTCTTCTTGAACTTATATGTTAGTATTAGTTCCTAGGTGATTAGCACACGAGCACTGCCACTTTTGATCGGTTAGGTCCTGGTGCGAATGCCGCGCACGTTACAACATGTGCAACACCTCTTACGCCACAATTTGGATATGCGAGCGCAGCTTTTCCCTCTTTGAGAGATCCTAAAATTCTCAGACGCGGAGGAGGCCCATCAGAACTGAAAGTGAGACGATGATTTATAGTTCACTTGGCTCGTTTTATTTTTTTTTCCAATTTTTTGAATCTTTTTAGTTTTTTAATTGTATTTACTTTTCAAAAACTTTATGAGAGTTGTTGAGAGACCATTTGAATGGGCACAACTTTGGGAAGACCTTTTAATCAGGAGTATATCAAGCGCATTCTATCTTCGATAGCGTAACGAAGGGCGATTTCAGTAACCTCTAGACCGTGTCAGTTCCACTGTCGTATTGTATTGACTTTTCTGCCATGTTCCTCATTACCGGTTGCATACTTGTTACTGGTACTTTCTTTATGTCGGGTTTAGTTCGTTTTGTTGGAAAATTCTAGGAGTAAAAATGTACAAGTCGCGGCAATGTGAGCTACATCTTTCGTCGGTTTTAACAGTCACTGTTGCTGTCGCGTATGTTCATCGCGTTATTCCTTCGTAACGCGCTCTCCTCTGTCCTCGCCCAACCATGTACTTGTGTTTACAGCCCCGTTTATCATGGTTACATGCTTTCATGGTGCGATCGCGTCTCTTAACAAGTAACCATGTTTTGTCCAGTATGTGAAGCTGTATTGTTCCCATTGAGGCTGTGTGGTTTAAACTACTTTGACGGTCCTACGAGGATTGTTTCTGAGCCCATCTCCTCTTTTTTCATACGCTATATTGCGAGCCTACCTACCCCTTGGAGGATAAAGGACGAAATCAATTCGACGTATGGATGCAGTTAGTTCCATGGAGTTCGTTCTTGGGACACGCCACGCATTCGAATTCCATTCGGAATCGTAGCTGGTTTATTGAAGGCGATGAGACCTAGACAATGGCTTGCGGGTGCCTCCGATGTGCGGTCGGCGTTCGTATCCTCCCAGGCCAATGAGGTACCGATTCATCGTCCCCTGATGGAAGAAAGCTTAGTTTGCTTAGGCGGGAGCCGATATGGGATTTGATCCCAAGACCAAACGCGAGGTAGCGTGCCACTTGCCATTGTACCACTTCCTCGCTTTTACTTACACGCCGTTGAATTGTCAATATTTACTTTCGTAAAGTTAATTAGTCTTGATGAAATAATCGGATAAATAATTGGATAAAAAATGTTTGAAAATAATATGGAAAATAATAATACCTAAAATTAGTTGACCTGGGCTGAGCCTGCCTGAAAATAACTTAGGAGGGTGGAGCATGGGAAAAACAACTTTTATGAATAGAACGCTTTCGTGCTTCGAGCTTAGTTGACCTGGGCGGAGCCGATCTGGGATCTGATCCCTGGCCGTACGCGTGGTAAGCGTGGCACTAGCCACTAGACACATCCGCCTCTATCGCCTCATCTGTAATCAGCCGCTGTCCCTTTACTAAGGTGAAATTATGGGTTTTGCGATGGCACAGTTTTCCCTGTAAGAATGCGTCATTTCCGTAGCTAGCAGGGGTTACTCGGCGGTACTGAACTGTTTTGATATGGGAGACTGGCAGAATAGGCGACTTGATCTCGGCGCCGCTTCCAGGGTATAAGCCTCATCACTCAGCTATGACGATGCTCTCCTCCGCGCCCAGTTGAGCATCATTCCTATTTGTTTTGGCATGATTCAACATGGGTGTGTGTGTATGCGAGGCGTTGAGGAAGTGTGATACCGTAACTGAGTCGCGGAGTCTTGGTCGGTGCGCACCATGCGCCCCGCGCAGGTTCTCACCTCGCCTCGTTGTCCCGCGTAAGAACACACTCACCCCCGATCGTCAGTGTTTCATTCGTCCCGAGAGCGAAAACGGCCACCATCATTCTCGGCCTATCTCTTCTTCAGACCGCCACCATCACCACCTCCTCTCTATGATGTGGACCGTTTTGTCTTTCCGTCATCACCTCGCCACATACGACTCTACAGCATCAGGCGGCCACCACCAAATCATCGTCACCCCTCGCTCGTCCTCCCCCCTCTCGCCCCTCCCCGCGAACAGCCACAGCTAGGCGCAGAGCATTTTCATGCACACGCCCATTTGCACTCCGCCCATCGCATGCACTCGTGTCAATCACTCGATTATTTGACGCTACCAGATACTCCATTGCTGATTCGAGAATTCAACGTTATATATGGCCTGTATGATGTATAAGCCAACGTTCACCATTGTCCATGCCTCGCCCTCTTTCGACAAAGCGCTTTTAGCTTGATTTTGTACGATTTTTGGATTCTAAGAATTTTCCCAGTGTGTGGTCCCGTGTTGCCGACGTGATCTCTAATTGTAGTATATGCACTTTTTTGTGAATACTTTTTCGTGAACCGCGATAACATTACTCAATGGGTTTTTTGGTGATAATTTGTTGCACTTACGTCATGAAGCGATAAGTTCTCGACACGACACGCAACGCATTAGCGTTACGCTTTATGGTTGTCGCAATAAGCGCCACTGATGATGATGATGCGTAATTGTTTACGCGTCGTATCGCAATAAGGAGGAACGGTTACGCAGCGGTCATTGTGCTTATCACCACTATGAACACGAATTCAGTCTAGTAATTACTGCATTGAAACCGCCTATCCCCCCTCTTAAATCGCCAATGATTGCGTTGATCTGCGTATGTGTGAGAGAACTCGTTAATACTCGTTGATGTTGTAGAATTCGCGGCGCGTCAACCTATTTGACTTACTTAATCGCGAGCGATCTTGTTGTATATTGGGAACAGAGGAGAGGTCGCTTTGCCGATGCTACTTCGGTCGCTTCGTTTCCCCGTCTCTTCTCCCCCACCCTATCCGCATCCACAACGCTTGCGCACCATCGCTACCTTACCCTGGCGCTCACTGAAAACGTCACGGCAAACCTGGGCCACAGGCTCTAGGGGGGAGGGGATGGGCTGCTGCTCATCTTTTATGAATCAGCTCACCGGATTTGGTGTATGGTTCTTCAAATTTAGTTAAGTCGTATCTTGAACTTTTTTCCGTGCGTTATTTTGACCCCTTACAGAGCACGTCCTGCCGTTGAAGAGGGTTTGTAGAATACGACTCCTCCCCCCCCCCCTTTCTCAAGAATTCGTGTTCTGGTACGACCACCATACCTGATCACCCATCCTTCCTAGGTTTCCCCATCATCGTACCGTGTTCCCGGAGTCTTCTTCTGCCAAAAAGTTGCCGTCGAGTTGGTGAAGCCGGGAAAAAGCCCTGTTTTTCGAGTGATTGAATAAGACTCCCTCCTCTTGTTGGGGATACACAATGTACGACGTGCCATAATTCCTAAGAACGTACCAGCCGCGAGCTGCAAAATCGTTAAAAAAAAATAAGCGGCTGAGTAATCCTTATATGGTATATTCTGCCGTTGAAGAAAATTTCGTAAATTACGACCTACCGCTCCTTCCCTTGAAATTCCTCCTCTGTTACGACGCGCCTTGGCCATCCCCTTCCTACCTACTGTCTTCCTGAAACTCCCTCTGAACCTCCTCCTTTGGTACGACCAGCCTTCCCCATCCTCCCTACCTACTATCTCCCTAAATCCCCCGTCTTCCTATCACGTTTCCGGGGGTAATCTTCTCACCGTTACCGAAGCCCTCTTTTCCCAAGAAGCTGCCGTCGAGCAGGTAGGCGGGAAGGGGTACAAAGCGCACGTGAGTTGTGAAAAGCCAAAAAAGGCAGCATTTTTCGAGTGCCAAAAACGACCCCTCACTGGGGATCGCCAACGTGCCCTGATTGCACAGAAGGTCCCAGTCGCCAGCCGCTGTGTTCATGAACAACATAAGCGGCAATTTTTTCTTTATCTCCACATTGCTTGCAAAGATTTAGTACTAGCCCCTCTCCCCTACCAGCCCCATTACTAGGCAAGGAGGAAGTGTGAGTGATGTTTTCTCGTTGAAATTTAGTGATTCGTTCAAACGTAGTATTGAGGGGGATTGAAAACCATTTATTACCACCAAAGGTCATTGTAGTAACTTTGGCTTAAGTGGAACTCATTGCTTTGAATCTATCCGAGAGTGACTCGTTGTGTACACATGGAGTAATGACGAGTCATCGATGTCGTCCCTCAGATCTTCTCAACGTGACAGTCCATAATACTAACACTGTCTGTCACCTTTCGTTTTACGACAGGACGCTTCCAGCAGGACGTTCTACCATTCCCTAAACTGCTACATAACGACCAGGTAATGTTCTAGGTAACGTCCTTTCCTGTTTCTAATGTAGTGCTTTTGTAAAAATTTTTTTATTTGGAATATTGTAATCACACATGCAATGACATCTCGGTCATGACTGACAATGATCACATCTTCGCTATCACCTCTTTATCTCTCCAATTCTCTCCCCCTAACAGTTGCGCCCCGCGATTTAACCCCCAATCGTGTCTACCACTCCATCGTTTTTTCCTGAGTCCACGCTGAAACTCAAGTCTCGTCTCTCGTTTCGTTCATCATCTGTTTTTTTGTTCAAGTGATTTTTGAAGAGCGTTCTTGAAGTCTGATTTACGGGCACGGGTGATGACGTCCTTCCTTGCCTGTGATATTGGTGGCTCGGAAAGAGTCCATTCAAAGGGGTTCCACTTGTTCAAGGATGCCTCCTTCTGGAGCTATACGCTTGGCTATTCCCAAACCATTTTACTGGAGTTGCAAGATTTCTCCGAGCTTTGGAGCTCCAGAGCTCTCTCTCTCTCAGGGAGGTCTTCAGTATGCCATAGCCATTTGCAGTGCGACACCGATAGGCTGGCTGGTTGATGGCGAGTCGCGCTATGAATCTTGCTGATATGTAAATGAGTTTCGTATGGTACGCCCCGAGGCGGGGAGGGGCGTGGTGTGGCATTCGGCGGAATCCGTAGTCGAACGTCGCCTTTGCGCACCGTTGCGGCGTCGAGATAATCGCTCCAGCAAATCACCTCGTTTATCCCTCGATATTCTTTTCTTCCTCCTCCTCTTCCTTCCTGTTCGTATCGTTCCGCTCGATTAGACAAATGTGTTAGCTGTCATTTGCCGTCGTCCCTCGATGCTGCCTCTCCTATCCCTCTGATAACCCGTCACTGATAACTCTCGCATACGTTCTCATTCAGGCATCGGCGACGATAAGGAGCAGAGCGAAAGCGAGTTCACGGCGCGCCCATGCACCATCGCTGAGACCAAACTTTACAACGACGAGCCTCTCTCACCGCTTCGCCTCGAAATGAACCACCATCAGCCGGTTGTCGTCAATTCATTGCTCTGCTTTATCCATAATTTTCGCGGCAATCCACAGGTGCGTAATCTAGTCGCCGAGTATTTCCCGAAGACGGCGATTGCTGAGGCGAAGAACATTTTGTGTTCAAAAGTAGCTGATGAGACGACGTCATCAGTACCAGAAGACGTGTTCGACCTGTACGATCTGTTAGTGACCAGAGAAGAACAAATGCAATTCGCTGCTACTGATCTCACCATTTTACCGTTGGCGTTACTCTCGAAAGACGAGGATAAAAACGAAATCATGCGCGAATTGAAGACCTTACGTACATTTATATCTGATGCTCTTGATGGTCGTATCGAGGATACTCCTCAACCAAGGTAAATATTGTTGTAATTACTACGTAAGTACGCTAATTATCTTATCATCCCTACGATAATTGTGAACTGTGTACGTTTCAGGGAGACACCTACGCCAACGGTGCGATGCAAACTGAACACGTCTGCTTCATCACCAGAGTTCCCTGTTGTTCATATTCCGGTTTGTTCATGTCTTTGATCTGCTTCTGATATTGTCACTTATCATTTGGGGATGTTACTTGTAAAGATTAGAGTTCTGCTGATGGATGCTCCCTTGCTGCTGCTGCACATGCACGCTGGGAATGGTCATGAGTCGAACTCGTTGACTTTTTTTTGAACGTCTGATTATAAAGTCTATTGATTGCTGCAGCGATCAGTAGGTGACGAGTGAATGAATGAATGAATAGGGGAGACCTCTTATAGAGAAATCAATTAATATTTGTGAATAAAATTGTCCAAAATTCAGGCAACAGTTCCATGTGAAAGCCCGAAACCATTGTTGTCTTCATCACCGGTGAACAACAACGTCTCCCAACAATCCCTACAGATGACATTAGCCCAACGACAGGCAACAGTCGCCAGTCCAGCGCACAGTCATCAATCTGCGGCAGTAGAGGTGGTCGAATCAATTGTGCGTTTGAAATACAATTTTTGTTATTTTTTTGATATTTGAAAGAATTGTTACGAGTAGTCGTACGTGTGTACTGGTGTGATCTCTTTTATTATAGAGAAGTTTTGGAGGGAGTCTTATTTTAAACCCGCGATATAGCCCTTGTTAGGATTTTGAAATCTATCAGTTGATTGGGCGATATCCTCGAAGTGGCTGCGATCTGTTTTTTTTCTGTCTGATCGGCTTGCCTCGGCGGTTCGTCGTTTTCTGACCGCTAATCGAGTGTCCTTGCCGCGCTTAGCGTATCAGTTCATTAATTGATTACCGCCCTGTTTTGATATCGATCTTAAACTCTGAGTAATTATTTCCTCTAGAGCGTCGTCGTCGCTAGGAAAATATGGTTTCGCGAGTAGTTGCGCCAATGCCACTAGATGCCATGGGACATCTGAAGTCATCTGAGTGGCTCAAAATGTCACACTGATTTGGCTCTGATTAGGCTCTAATTGGGCCAGGGATGTTTTCAGAAGGGTGGACATGATAGTTGGATTTATGCCAATTACCCCCACCACGGATCGCCAGACGACGGACTTTTGCATTTGCCACGACGACGGCGATGACGGTCGGAAACGGCGCGATTCGCGATGCTGCCTGCCTCGTTTGTCTGCCTGCCCGATTTTGTATTACATGCCTTCGAGGCGAGAAGCATCCCCGAAACTCTCACGCTGTATTGATTATATATAGAGAGAGCTAGTGTTGGTTTTGGTCCAATGCCAAGTCATACCGTAGCGAGCATTTTCCATTCAGGAACACCGGTTATGTCAAAAAGCGAAAAGTGACGCAGCATGATCCATTTTGCATTTTCCAATGTGTGCTCGCCTTTGACAATTCGTTTTGACGCCAGCCAGCGTTGTCCGTAGTGGTGAAGATAGATTTTTGAAATCGCGCGTTCACCTCCAATAGCGCTCAATGAAACCTACGACTAACGATGGGATATTTGAGAGAACCCCCCCCCCGTTCCCTCCCTCCTGTGCGGGAACATATCAGCGGCCGAAGGATGTCACAATGATCTCGTTCAATTTCAGTTTTTTTATTCTCATATTTCAGAATGCAAAACGAAAAGCTGGCCGAAGTCTGGATGCTACTGTGCGGAAGTTGAGTGAAAAACGAAAAGCTGAACTCGAAGAGCCGCCACCACCACCAGCGCCGACGACGACCGTTACACCATCGTATCAACCGCCAACACTTGATCCACAAGCGTATCTGAATATGATACGAATGATGCAAACACCTCAAACGTCCATTTTCAATAGCGTCATCAATCAAATGTGGGTTCTTCACAAAACGGAACATACTCAAGCTTTTCTTGTCACTTGTCGTTTTCCGACTTTTTCTGGTTACGCATTGATCTTATCGCTGTTTTTCTACTTGAGTTGCTTTTTAAACGCTCGTCTGCCACCACTTGACATCTTAATTTGTACCTCTTGAAGAACGTCTTATCCTGTATGCCTTCACTTATTTGTTCCCTCTTTGAAAGTTGGATTTTACGTTTCCGACATGGTTTGAGACATTTGGTTGCACGGCGGTTTGAAGCGTATTGGAATTCAGTTGGCATTTGTTGAGGTGTGTGCGCGCCTTCGCTTCGCCTTTTCACTCGAAGGGGATGCTGAGTCATGTATATTGAATAGCATAAAGCCCCACGTACAGACGGAGCGAACGGACGCCGAGCGAAATTCGCACGAGAGTGCAACGGCGACGACAGCGCTGCTTCAGATGTGATAGAATCGCATGATATGTGCGTACATACTTGTAAGTATTTATATCTAGCCACAAGTCTAAGCACTTCCGGTGATTCGCTGGTAGCGGGTTAGTGGTGGTTGGGTGTGTATGTGTGTGTGTGTGTGGTCGTTGCGGTTACCGTATTCCAGCACTGGAGCGCGAGCGCGAGCGCAGTGCTGCGTGTTTGTCAAGTGATACGGTGTCGCCTCTCTCGCCTCTCACCTCGCGAGTTCATTGGCTTGTGGTTGTAAAGTAGTGCGACATCTCTCCCATCGTCGTGCACCCGATAGATAGACGGGCAGAGAAACGGACGGGAGGGGGCACACAACAATGTGTAGACAGGGAATTGTCACGTCCTCAACACGTTCAACTCGTAGGTTTCCTCGATGGTAAGATGGGGAAACTCTTTCAACGCCGTGTACGCGTCGTAGGCACATGAGGGGCAGGAGTTTAGGTCTTTGGCAGAGGATAATCCAACATGGAGTCGTATAGGCAGCAGCCAGTGGATTGGCTGTAGCTTTGTGATGCTTGGCAAGGGTTCCACTGAAAGGCAGGAAGTTACATCAACAGGGTGTAAACGGCTTCTTCTTCCTCTACGACGTGACTTTTTACAAAGGTGATTAGAACAACTGTCATTGACCCCAGAATGAGTGTGGTTCATCACCTGAAGGGTTATTTGTTGGTCCCTGCTCTAGAGGGTGGCCACTGGAAGTTGTGAGGATGGCCATGTACACCATGATCACCACGATCACCACCACCATGAACCACCACCACGAAGCACCAGCACATCAAAGACCTCTCCTCTCATAGAGGCAGCGACTGTGTCGTTCACTCTGATTATCGAGATGATAAATCAACCTTGTTGGGGGATGCGATTCCGGTTTCTTCGCACCTCATGCAATCCATCACACATTGCCAGTCGTCTTCCTCGCCAAGTACACATGCACATACTGTGTGACAATCGATTCATGACCTGCTCTTTGAGTACAGTCGTCGGGTTCCGGCCGGCGGGCGCAAGGGCAATGTGGAGGTTACGTACGATAATGAAAAGCGGAGGGGGATGTAAAATGATTTACAACTATGCATTATCATCTTTTTTCTTCATGCACTTGGCCGTGTCTCTTTATTGAACTTCAACGTATTGATTTATGCAATGAGGGGGAGGGGGAACGTCGGAGGCGAGGATGGCGAAAGTAGCAGGCTATTGTATAAGCAGGGCTTTTTTTTCTTATATGGGCTAGCAAGGGACCGGAAATCTTTTGAGACTTCAACACGCCAGAAGACGTTCTCTTGAACTGTTCCCATGTTGAGGCACTGACTTATACAGTAGCCATTGTATTCATTCGTACCTATGCAATGCATGAATGAATCAGTTGCGAGGTCTTTCATGACGCCTTGTGTGAAAACGCGGTAATTCCGTGGCTTCCTCTCGCGACGAGTTCCGTGCCGAGGTGCTGCTGGACACGCTATTAAGGTCAAGGTTGTGAGCTGTGATAAGATAAGTTTTCTTTGGTTGGCCGGGTTTGTGATCTGAACCCTATGTCAGTTTGTGACGCGGTGGTTGGTCAGGTGACTCACTGGAGGACGGACAGGAGGAGTTGTTGAATTTGCCAAAAAGGGAATTCTGCGAAGATACCGACAACGCCACCACATGTGCTGGTGTCCATTTTTCAACTGATTACTGCGACGTCTGTTGGCGACGATCGCTTTGTTTTGCGGGAAAAACGAGCGCATACGCACCGCGTTGGTATGAGGAATTTGTTGACATGCACACGAACCTGATTGATAACGATTTGTCTAATGACTCTCGGAACCTCGGTCAAAAAGGAGAAGAACGAGATAGAGGATGGGCTGTGAGAGAGATAGGGAGAGAGTTAGTGTTTCGTAGAGAGATCTGACGTTGGCTGTGGAGGAGGTGTGGTGTGGCGCAAGAGGAAAGCGAGAACGGAGACGGATGAAGTGAGTGAAACCCGCTCAGTCGGCGCTCATTGGTGGTGGGGCTGACGACTGCGGTGGCGACGACGACGTCGGCGCCCGATACAGCCGAACGCGCAGACTCGTGGATGCTGCTGCTGCAGCTACTGCGGTTATCTGTATGACTACCTAACATCCAGGATTAGAGGATGGAGGATCAAAGGGTGAAGAAGGATCAAGTCCAGTGGTATGCTTTCATTCATCAATGGTGGGCTGGTAAGTCATACAAAGGATTAGGCTGTCACCGGGAGTGGGGGGGGGGGAATTCTCGCTTTAGATTTTTGGCAGAAATAACCAAAAACGTGTTTGCATGCTGACAGAATCCCTTCGATGGAGCTTTTCTGTATAAATAGACTAGAATGCAGTCTTCGCAGTTGATCAGTCCCTTTGTCGGATGCGCCACGCATTCTTCTTCCATTCACAATCGCAGCCTTATTGAATGCTATTGCCCTGTACAATGACTTCCGGGGACTTCGATGTACAAGTCAGTGTTCCTATCTTCCCCGGCGAGTCTGGTACCAAATTTCTTTCCCTAGAGGGTAGAAGGCTTGGTCGGCCTGGGCGGAAGCCGATCCGGGATTTGACCCTGGATTGTGCGCTTAGCAAGTGTGGCACTTGCCGCTGCATTACCCTCCGTCTGCAATATAGAGAAGCTGGTATTTGAAAAATCAGCTCAATAGGCGGCTTCTCTGGAGAAGAGAACGCAGAATTATTGACGCGCCTCGTAAAACAGTCTTGTCCTCAGGCTAGCTCAAGACGTGTTCTCCTGTAGTGGCTTCAACAAGTCCCCTGTGCGAACAAAGGCTGATAAGGCTAGAGATGATGAAGCTTTTGCCGTTGTTTGACCCCTATTTGGATTGCGACACAAATTCTACTTCCATTCATTATCGTGAGCTTGTCGAATGTGATATGGCATATGACATTGACCTGTGAGGATCTTCTGTAGTAGATGTCAGTATTTTTTTGTCCCCGACGAATTTAATATCAGTTCACCGGCTCCAGAGGATGGTAAACTTGGTGTGCCTCGGTGGGAGCTGGCCCAGGATGACCAACTGATCGCGCGCGTGGTAAGCGAGCCAAGTGCCGCTAACAACCTCCCTGCCAAGGATTTACAATTTGCATAGGCACTTCGGTAGCGTTAATTGACAGCTTGACGTTTTGAAGTCGAGGGATCATTCTTCTCAAGTCGACCTGTCACTGAAACATCGTGGTCCGTCCACTTCTTGTATGCCATTAAAAAAACAAGGGTTTTGGGGATGCTGGTGCAAGGGAAGGGTAAGAAGGTTGACATGAATTGCAGGGGAGACCTCGGTTGTGTGGTTTAGGGGACAAGCGTGCCTTCCTTTCAGAGCTTGGCAGCTTGTAAAGAGCGCTAAATGGGATAGAACATCTGAGAGGGGTTTTATGCTAGCGTTCTTCCCAGTTTTTTTTTCCAGAAGAAGCTAACAGTTTTGTTTCTTCTCCTAAGCAGAAACAAAACTGTTAGCTTCTTCTGGAAACACCAGGCTCCCCAGGTCTGCAGTGCACCTTACCACTGCAGACCTGGGGAGCCTGCAGTGGTAAGGTGCTGTAACTACCCTATTTTCTGGCGTACAAGAAGCAACGTTGTTGCAAAGTCGCAGTTGAACCACGCGACAATGAGCGCGAAAAACTTTTGGTCTTTGATGTGTTCGACTTTTTATGCTCTACTCTCCAAGATGGATTCCGAACATTTTTCCCGCAATTTTTTATCCTACGATTCATCAAAATTTATTGACGATATAGAACTTACTAATGATATGACTAACAATTTTGGATGCTGATCATCAAGGAGGAAATTAACAGCGAATTATTGCAAAAAATTCTTGCAAAATATACCCTCTCCCATATCTTCGGGAGCAAGGGGAAGGGGGTATGGGACAGCACGACAACATTCGAAAACCTTCCACCAAAAGAGTTTGGTACACCCTACACTTCCCCCAACTAAGGAATACACAGCGAGGCTGTTATGCAGCCGTAGCAAGCTTGAAGTGAGGTGAGTGAGGAGATCCAAGCTGATAAAAAGCTCTCTTCAAAGAGGTTTTTCATTTTCCTGCAAGAGGGGAATCTCAGACCGAGCAGTTGAACCTATGCAGAAATCTGCATCCTCCCTGCGATCTTTCAAGGAGTTCATGAAGCATCTATGAGCAGAGCACGTCGGCGGCGTTAGATCCCCATTGAGGTAAGGGGGAGGGGTCGCATCTGCTTTTGAGAAAGATGTTTTCAGTTGACGATTTTTCTCTTTCGGTTTTTCCTGTTTCGAGTGCACTATATACCTCTTCCCTCTCCGTGCCCCCCCCCCCGCGCACCCCCTCCCGAAACGTACGCCGCTCTACGGCAGTTTCATACGGAGAAGAGCGGTAGGAAGTGGGGAAAACTCAAGAAATCATGAAGATGGCAGGTAGGCTAGGGCATGGGGAATGGGAAGGTCGCAGAACAGAGGAGGAGATTTTGTGCGGGGTTATTTTGCGAAAGTTCTCCTCAATCAAATGCCATGACGTGTCCTGTATATGAATCAACTGTGACGAAAATGAAGAATTTTCCTTGCAGGGAGTGATAACGCAAGGGTCCCACGTGCAAAAAACCTTTTCTGCCACATTCGTAGAAAAATCGAATGTCTTGTTCTTTTATCTAACAAGTTCTTATGTAAGGGTTTCAGAAGGATGAATGGTCAAGTGGAATGCGAGAATTTTGAAGATCGTACTGATGAATTGGCTGATGATGGCGATAGTTCACCTTCACCATCAGAAGACACAAAGTACGACTTTCCGTTGACAGAGATGAGCTACGATAACGATTCTGGTAAGTGGATTTGATGTCTCAACTCATTATCTGGATTGAAGGGTGTTTTTCATGCTCTGGTGGTAGCTGACAAGTGGTTTTCGAGGCGCGTTTTCTGTTCAGAGTTACTGTAAAGGTTTTGCAATGGTGTGAGGATGCATTGTATTGTATATGAGTGAATCTTTCTCTCAGTCTGTGTGTATCTATGCGACCGTTAGCGCAAAATCGCCAGAGCGAGGTTGGTGTGTGTGTGTGCTGAAATGTAGGTGTATAGGGGTGCGATTTCAATCTATCGGCGGTGGACCTCTCTTGGTTAGATGTTATCACGGGAGTGGATGAGGGCATGGGAGGTCATCCGCTCCGTTCTCTGTCATCAATCTCTCTCCCACACACACACACTGAGAGAGAGAACATCACGAGAAAACGGGAGCGACGACGGGAGTTACAACCTCGAATTAGAGGGGAAGACCAATGACTCTAGTCTTACGTAGATGGGGAACAGGGCACGTCGTAGGTTGGGGAATCCCCAGCACAAGGGGGATGTCGTACTCAGGGTACAGCATCGTGATGTGTGAAATGGTGATACCAGTACTATCCCCGCCCCTCCGGAAAAGGATCCTGGTACGATCCCCCGCCTAACACAGGTTTCAATACGACCTGCTGCCCTAACTCCTACACACACCAGTTTCCCACATGTTCCATTTTTCACCCAAAGATTTTTCGTCAAGCGGGCGGAGAGGGGGGGGGCACATAGCCAATGGGAAGCGATAAAATTAGATTTTCCCCTCACTTCCTACCCTTTTTCTGTAATTTCCCGGAAATTTTTCTACTTTTACCCGAAAATTCTGCTGCCAGGGGGGTATACAGTACACATGAAAAGTCACGCGAAAAGGCAAGTAGGGAAAAACTTTTTTTAAATTTCTTCTCAACGCAGCAATTTTCTCTCAAAAGCACATATGACCTCCTCCCCGCTCCCAACAACCAAATACGACCCTTTCCCTCCCCAGCGGAAAAGTACGCCCCCCGCCTTTTGTGTTTCACACAACGATGCTGTACCCTGGTGGTACTTGGTCGCTGGAAAGAGTGGGGTTTATTTCACTGGAAAAATGTTCTCTGATAGTAGGCTTTTCCTGTTTCACGGGTGCTGTCCACGTCGTTGAGAGGGTTCCCGTAGAAGGGGAAAGGGGGTCGTATTCGCTCGCCGTTAAAGGTGGAGGGTCGTATTTGCCTTCGAGAGAGATTTACCGCTTTGCGAAAGAGTTTCTCCCGGTCGTTGCAGCTTTTCCCGTTACACATGTGCTGTATACACGACACCCCCTCGACAGCAAAAAACTTCGGGGAAAAAGTGAAAAAGTGGAAAGTGTTTGGGAATTTTCGGAAAATGTGGTAAGAACTCGGCAAAGTTGGCAAGGGTAGGATGGAAAACTTGAGGGGAAAGGTTGTATTCTGCAAAAATTTTCCCCAGTGGCGGGGCGTGCCCTGCTGGGAATTTTCTTTCTCTTTATTTTGATATTTTGATTTCTAATCTCTATCTCAAAAATATTCCTGATATGATTTCAGATAAGCCCTTCATCTGTGAGCATGCGAATTGTAATAAGAGATTCGCGAACAAATTCCTTTTGAAGAAACATCAATTTATTCACACGGGACTTCGACCCCATACTTGTCCGTATTGCAGCAAGCGGTGAGATGTTCTTATGTAGTTCAATTGGTTTTTGAGGCGTTCAATGAGCGCCACAGATCATTTTGGATTGATTTTTCAATTTTTATTTTTCTGCGATCCTACCGGTGCCCTAAACTATAAAATAACAACTATTGCTTTGAGTTATGCGTGGCCATTTACTTTCTTTAACTGCAGTTTCGTTCAGGTTCAATCGGAAAGATAATTTATTACGGCACAAGAAAACGCATCTCCAGACAAGTGTTATGGAGGATCGAAGAAGTCTACCGGAAGCGTTCAGTGGGCTATTTCCAGCATTCGGTAGCACATTAGGTCTTGACCTGAAAATGGACGGTTTGGATGCGATAAAAATCGAAGCACTGGATGCGTTCCGAGTGGAAAATAATGAAGACTAGTCGGTGCGAGGCGATCCTCTTATGTAATCATTACAAATATAGTCTGTAGAGACTCTGGAGATATACAAATAAGTCCCGAGGCTCGGAATTGAGGATTTCATCCGGTTCTATAGGCAGTACGGTACTATTAGAATATTTACCCGGTGGCACAGTTCTGCACCATGCATTGAGATAAAGACTTCTGGATTCTGGAACAAATCCAGGAGAATCTGAATTGCTCTCGAACTCAAGCTCGTCAATTTCCACTCAGATGGTATTCGGTTGATATCGTCGCAATCAGTCGGGGTGGCGTCAGGATGGGCGGAGTGAGCCCACTCGCGGCATTTCCACCACTGGTTGTTTCCTTCCCAAAACGATCACTGCTCCATTAGCGACAACCTGTCGGGTCGCAATCAGCGGTCGCGACCTGCGGCATTACCACCACTGGTTGTTTTCTTCCTGAATCGACCACTTCCGATCGTCATTGGTAGAGCAAGGCAGCCGCAGGTGGGCTCATGCCGCGCTGCGCTCGCCACCCCGACAAATTGAAATGTTGCAAACTACATGTGCAGCCATATATATCAAAGATGTTGTTGGCACGATGCCAGCGGCAAATTCGTCCAAAAAATGTTCGCTCAATATCGTGCAAGGTAAGGCTCCTTGGCGGGATTTCGGTCGTTTAGCCTCGCTTTTTTCGTCATTTTCCCCACTATATAGCACCCCAAATACTATTTTCGAGCAAGTACCGAACTATCTTGCCTTATAATAATCGGATGAAGTTTTCGAACGGATACATGATTAGGACTAGTATGTCTTCCTCAAGACTCCTCCTGTATACAGCCCGACCAAAGATGGACCGTGTGAGCACAGGACGACGAAAATAAATATCTATCTATATAACGCTGTGATTTGGTGCCGGTATTTAGGACGTCTCGTTCATTGCTTACCAAATAGACGATTGTTCTCAGCATGCAGTACCCTTGTGATATGTGTATTTCATTTCCAGTTTCTTCTGCGTTTGATTTTCTTGCGGACATTTTTTTCCTAGACGAATTTTTCTCTTTTTCCTTATTTTTCACTTTCCTTTTCTTTTGAAAAAAGGTTTTATGAAGTGTTTTTGTTGTTAATCTGGCTGACAGCCATAATCTGTTCAAAACTTGTGTTGTTATTGCATATTCACACTAAAAACTATTTCTCTTTCTTAAGAAGAAATTTCAGAAGTTTAAATGGTCGAAATATAGAAGCTTGTTTCTCTTCTTTTCGTTATTAATTAGTGTTCTGAAAACCGATGTGTGAAGTTGCAAATTAGGAAAAACGTGCCTTTTTTCTCAACTGTGAATATTTCTCACTTGACAGTATATGTGCCTTGCCGATTCCCCTCTGAGATATCATAGTTGCCATAGTTTTGATTTTTGTTCTGGTATTTCATTTCTTGATGTCATATTTATTTATTAATTCTTCAATAAAGGTGATGCTGGTTGCTATTTTCGTTACAGGATAAGGGTAGTGGACACGATGACTGGGGCGGCCTGTTGCTCCCTCCCTCGGTGGAAGGGTTGCAAGTAAGCGTTAGGCCGCACCCCATTCGGTTCTAACGTCAGTGAAGTTTCAGCAACCGCCCGCCCTCAGCCGTCGAGCCTACTGCCTTTAAGAGCACACTCCACTTTAGTCGTGAGGGCGGAGAAGGATGTCAGAGAATCACCCATGACAGATCATCGACGTGTAGCGTATGTCAACAACCGACCTCTTGGAAATGGAGATCGTGTTAGGACCTCCTCTCTTTGTAACCTTCAATAAGACAGTCATCGCGTTCACGTAAGGACAAAGCAGACTCATTCCCATCAAAACACTCCTTTTCCAGACCTCATTAATAACCGCTCCTAACAGCCCGGACCGACCCTCTCATATCCCCCATCCGAACCCCTTCCCCCACCCTTAATACGTCTGCCCCGATGTTGATTCCACACAGAATGATGATGGACATTGGAACTTTCCACCTCACCGGAACGTCCTTCCTCTGAACCGCTTCAGGTGGAGGTTCAGGTTAGTGGGAAAGACATTTCGTTTCATTTCGAGTGGTTCCCTGTTTCCCCTCATCCGATCATCGCGGACAGTACGTCCAGCTAGTAGATATCGAAGCCGATGTAATGCTATTTGCTGGCTAGTTAGCCTACGTGCATGTAAAACGGTGCAGTGGTGTACCATGGGGCTGTTTATAAGTGCTTCTTATCTCTTAGCTTGTGAAAAAAGTCAGCTGGGCACTTTCAGAAGAAATACAGCTGGATTCAAAAGAATAAGCGTCTAGTTGTGGAACCCGATGAAACCACCACCCACAATGAGTCCCATCTTGGCAGCATTTCAAGAAGGGACACATTCTTAGCTGCAACGTCTGAGGGTTTCTTCACTAGATCGGCTGTAACTTATGTTCCCTTACTAGAAATGCATACTTTGAGGAACCAGCTGGGAAGAAACTTGAGAACCGAGACCAACAATAGCGGAGAGTTGGACCAACAGAATGATTGGGCTACCTTGAGGAGTGTGAGAAATTAAGCGCGCAAACCTTCCGGCTTCTTCACTGCATTTCGCACAGGAATTTTTTTTTCGTGCAATGACATTCTGCGATTACCTAATGAAATTTTCTTTTGTACAAGTGGCTTAGTCTGCAGTGTCAAAGGTTGTCTGAAATTCGGGGCTCGTTAGTAACTATCGAACGCGTTGAGATGGTCATAAGCTGAAAAAAGCAGAGTTCCCATATCTGTAAAAAAAAGCACTCATCGGTTGCATTCATCTAGTGGGGGACCGATCAAAAATCTTTTTCGTCTTCCAGCTCGTCCCCCTGTTCTTTCATCTTTTGTCCCTGGCTCCTCATCCATGCAGCAGTATCTCACTTCTGACAATACTCGTCCGATCTTGGGGCCTTATTTACACGGTGGCTCCAGCGGTTTGTGCATTCATTCATGCCAAAGGATCCTAATCGTATCCACGACTATGTGTGGCCCCAAAGCAATCACCCAGTGCGTTCTCAATGAACTTCCCACCAGTTGGCCTTTTAGCAATTACCGAGTGCCCATATTTCCGTTTGCGAAACTCTCGGTCTGCTCCAATATCAAGGGGACTTCCCTGCAATGACGATGTCTGAAGGTAAATTGTAAGTCAGCTGCACACTCGCCACCTCCTGGATGGGTCTCCTACACCCATAAAAAAAAGCTCACTTTCAGAAGTCATTGATGCTATGGTAATAAGTTTGGAGTGTACTGTACTAGTAGTAACTGGGTGAGAATACAAAAAGAGGCAGTCACAACTCCCACTTACAAATGGCTGCCTCAAGATGGCCATCTGGAAAATGGGGCAACAAGCGACGAAGGTTACCCTGCTCTAGGACAACACATAATAACGTGCTGCTTCTGCGAATTGCCAGAAGTAACCTCAACAGCTGTGAACGACTCACCGTACTTTTCGACTAGCTTTTTCTGGATAAAACGTTTTCAGTTTGAAGGTCGTCAACAAGGGTGGGCTCCCGAAATCTCGACTACGTCAGAATGCAATTAGCGGAGGTCCAGTTTCAGAGGTGCAGCCTGTGAAAGTCTAGGAGGGGTGTATTCCGAGGCAGGGAAGGAGAATTTCTTGCCACGCTTTGGAATTCTATTGCGGACTTATGATTAACAAGTAAGCAATAGATGCAGTTGCCGAACTATGGAAATACCAGTCGGCTTCGCCGGCTGACACGCGCGCCTCCTTCTGAGATACAGTACGGCTTCGTCGAGTGGGCTTCTTCCACACATTTCATTAGCCGCCTAGTATCAGGCTTTTCTTTTACCTGAACAGGTGGTCAACATTCTTTGACCAATAGCATCATACCTGCTCCTTTCAACACTATTACGGTGTATGGAAGGAGCGTTGATCAAGTGGACAGATGAGAGAAAAGCCGGGTATTAGTCGAGCATTTGATCATACGAATGCAGGTAGGCGCGACGCCCCGCAAAGCCGGGCCGTATCACATAGAGGTCTGGAGTGCCTGGAGTGCTCTGGAACCGCTTGAGGAATTTTTAAGGCTGGCCCCGCTCACCTTGACGCACGCTCCACACACAACAGGTATGCCTTACACTTGTGAACCGGTGACCCCTCGATGACCTTAAACCACTTTTTCCCGGTGTCTGGAGTGCTCTGGAACCGTTTTGCGAATTTTTAAATTTGGCTCCACCCACCTCTGGGCACGCCCCGCCCACAACGTATGCCTCGCGCTTCTCAACTAATAACCCCTCGCTGATCTTAAACTACTTTTTCCCGGTGTCTGGAGTGCTCTGGAACCGTTTTGCGAATTTTTTTAAATTTGGCTCCACCCACCTCGGGGCACGCCCCGCCCACAACGTATGCCTCGCGCTTCTCAACTAATAACCCCTTCGCTGATCTTGAACTACTTTTTCCCGGTGTCTGGAGTGCTTTGGAACCATTTTGCGAATTCTTTCCGAATTTGGCTCCGCCCACCTCGGTGCAGGCTCCGCCCACAACGGGAGTGCCTCGCACATTCTTACATTTGATCACTGGGGACCATAATCCACTTTTTGGCACCATCTGCAGTGCTTTAGGACCAAACGCCGCCCATTTCAAGCACGCCCCTCCCATTTCGGGTTTCTCTCCTCCGTTTGGTGTGCCAACCCATTGCTAACCTAATTCCACTTTTTCCAGTCTCCAATCTGCTTTTTAGCTACGAATTTCGTGACAAATAGACAGACAGACAGACAGACAGACAGACAGACAGACAGACAGACAGACAGACAGACAGACACACACACATACACACGGACATGGCCGATTATATTAATAGGATTATGGCAAGCTAACGCGAAAGAAAAAAAGGACCACATGCTCATAAGGAATCTAGAGAGTTAGTGATGGGCAGAAGAATGAGCAGAATGAAAGCTTCGCGGCTAACCCCTCATCACTGTCCTATACAACACGAGGTCACGATCTTGTACTTGAGTGATCTTTTTGAATTTTTGTGGGAATTTTTATAAAAAATT